GTGCCGCCTGGCGCGGCGCGGAGCGGCGCGGAGCAAAGGGAGTGCGGCGCCATGCGGGGCTCGGGGCTAGGGCTGGCGCTGGGGCTACTGCTGGGCATGGCGTGGCTGGTGTGCGGGCAGAACGAGACGGAACCCATCGTGCTGGAGGGGAAGTGCCTCGTGGTGTGCGACTCCAACCCCACCTCCGACCCCACCGGCACTGCTCTCGGCATCTCCGTGCGCTCCGGTAGCGCCAAGGTCGCCTTCTCCGCTATCCGCAGCACCAACCACGAGCCCTCCGAGATGAGCAACCGCACCATGATAATCTACTTCGACCAGGTGCGCGGTGGGGTGGCGGGGCTCCGGGCGCGCCGCTGCCGCCGGAGCAGAGAAGTTGTCTGGGAAGGCGGCGAGGCTGGGCCGGGGACGCGCCGCCCGGCGGAGCCCTGCCCGGGAGGCGGAGGGGCTGCGGACCGGGGCAGCCGCGGGGCTAGGCGGCGGCTGAGGCCCTGCGGAGGTGCTGACGGTGCCATTCCCTTCCTTTCCAGGTACTAGTGAATATCGGCAGCAACTTCGACTCGGAGCGGAGCACTTTCATCGCGCCAAGAAAGGGGATATACAGTTTCAATTTTCACGTGGTGAAAGTGTACAACAGGCAAACCATCCAGGTCAGCCCCAAGCGCCGCCGCCGCGCTCCCCGGGCACCGCGGGAGGGAGCGGAGAGGGCCCGCGGCCTGGCGGGGACGAGGCCGTGCTGGCGGCGGGGCAGGGCCATGCCCCCGGTCCGCCGCCGGGAGCGGAGCACATACCTCCCGGCGCTTCCCGGCCGAAGGGTCGGTTCCCCAGGGGCTGCGCAGACTCCCGGCCACTGGCGGGCCCCTGCCCGCATCAGCCGGAATGGGACGGGAGGAAATAGCTTGCTGGCTGTCCCCTTCCCGCCTGCCCGGGCCCCTGGGCAGCCCTGTGCCCCAGGAACGTCCCTGCACAGAGCCCTGGGAGCCACGGCCCGCGGCAGGCTCATCATCTACTGAGGTAGCTGAAGGTTTCATAGGGATTTGGGGTGCAGGGAGGTGCCTGTGGCAGGGAGATGGTAATGAATGTAGTTCTGTATGACTGCATGCAGCCACCCTTTACACACCTTTTGAATGCAGTTCGATGCATACACATCTCTAGGTAGGGATAATAAATTACCAGCCTGAAGCCAGGTAGCATGACCTAGACAGGGAATCTGCCTGTGTAGCAATGCACAATTGCAAAGGTGAATGTACTGCTGCATAGCTCAGTCCTGGTATAAACACCTTCACACACCCAGATTGGGCAGGTAGCTTATTATTAACATGGGGTGTGCAGTCCTGGGATCATTAATGAGAGCTGGGCAGAGCTTATTGACTGTGTTGTGGCATATTGTCTTCTCTTTCTAACAAAGGAAAACTACCTCTTGAATACACTTCAAACGCGCTGACTCTGGCAGCTGTGGCTCTGCTCCTCGCTGTCTCTGAGGTTTCGCATAAAGCCATTTTTCAATAAGTATGAGCAGACCTCTTTTCATAGCCTGAAAACACAGGCACCCTATTGAAATTCTTCAAAATAGGATCAATGTCCTGTTTTATATGCACTGGGTGTTTTGATGTGGTTGTCAGTCTAAAACAGTGGTGAAAGGCTTCTTCCTTTGGAGTACATACCTTTGCTGGGTTCAGATTGGTGTTTCATTTTTATAGGGCTGGAGTTTCAGCTGTCAAAAGAGGCCCTTTCTTAACTAAGCATTTCACCTGCTAGGCGAGCCCTGGCAGTGTCATTGTCTGACTTTAATTGACGGAGGGCTTTGTTTTATCTTGCTCTTTAGGTGAGTTTGATGCTAAATGGGTGGCCAGTGATTTCTGCCTTTGCAGGGGATCAAGATGTGACCCGGGAAGCTGCTAGCAATGGAGTCCTGATTCAGATGGAAAAAGGAGACAGAGCTTATCTAAAACTGGAGAGAGGAAACTTAATGGGAGGCTGGAAGTATTCAACATTCTCTGGATTTCTGGTGTTCCCACTTTAAATCACTTCTTATCCAAGAAAAGGGAGAGATCTCTTACAAATTCACAAGTGGTAGCTGGGTTTAAAGAGTTGGGGACAGCAGACTTTTTACATTCAAATATTAAAGAAGCTAAATCCTGCTTAGGTTTGTGTACACCTGCTTTGAAGAATTACTACTTATTTTTGTTGTGTTGCAGCCAACAGGCGGGAGATGCTATAATTGATCACCCCCCCCCCCCTTCATATTCTCCCACAAAATCTGTTCCCATCCCTGTGTCATTGGTGTAATCTGCCACCATTTCCCCATGGTTTCTGCCTCACACGAGTAGACTTTAGATATTTCCATTGTCCTTTAAAGCATATTTTGTAGTTTTGTTTTTAAAACATGTTAATCTTAACTCTTTCTCTGAGTTTAACTTTTAAAACAAAACAAAACAAAAAATTAAAGTATTTTTGAATACATGGATGCCACGATGGAAGGGAAAACGAAATTCTTGCTGTGTATGGCCTGGCAAAGGGAAAATTTCTACATGAAGAACTATTCACAGCCAATGCTGACTAGAGTATTTCAATATTTCTATGTAATTCTGAGTGATTGTGAAATTTAAGGCTGCTAAATGTTTTGATGCTTGTTTTGCTCTTGTACAATGTGGCCCAACTAAATGCCAGGAAGTATACTGAACTTTTACTATTACTCCGTAATATATGAGTGAATATAAAAAATTAATTTTTGCTTTAATTCAATAAAGTTTAAATGGGACTTTTATTTTTCTCAACCAGAAATGAGGTTTCTCAATGCAGGCAGGCAGGGAGAGGAGGAGGCTCGGCGCGGTCCCAGGGAAGTGGAGCCCCCGCGGGTGCGGCCGCAGTGCTCCGCTTCCCCCCCTTCCCCCTCCGTATAACGCCCTCCCCGCCCTGAGCAGGGCCCCGCGGCCGCGCAAGCCCCGCTGGCAGTGCCGGCAGCCCAAGCGGAGCCGCCGCTAGGAAGTTTCCCGCCGGCTCTTCTGTCCGCTTATTTATAGCATTTATGTGTATCATATTCTGTAAACCGGATCGCATTTTATACGGCCGTCTAAAAATACCTGATGATGTACACTTCGATGCTCGTATTATTTATTTGCCAGTATTATTTTGTTTACAGTCTTTTAAAGATGTAAATGCTATAATTTTGCAGTACTCAGAGATTACTAATTTTATTAAAATGTGTGTATGGGGATCTCGATTGTATCTAAACTTTAATGTGAAATAAAGCAATGACACGAGCCTGTCGCTGAGTGAAAGAGGCTTCTCTGCTCCGCGGTGCGGCCCCGGCGGAGCCGCACGAATCCCGGTTCGCAGGGAGAAACTGAAGTAGCTCTTAGGTGGGGATCAACACGAGCACAGTAAGCAACTCTCCTCGCTTTATTTGCAGGTTCTGCCCTCGAAATAGCCGGGCGGAGAAGCCTCTCCCTGACCCAGCCTTTGCCGGGCGGTTCCGCGGTGGAGCGGCACGCGGGAGCGGGGCTGGGCAGGGCTCAACCTGATCCCGAGTGGCCGCGGCCCTTAGTTTCCAAGTGAATACATCGGCCGCGAGTCAGCACCCGCTTCTCTGTCACCGAAGGGCGCGGGGGCCAAACACCTCCCACTCGCGCGATACCTACAGTCTCAGGTCGCGAATTGCGCCCGGCAGCAGAGGGGAAGGCGCGGACGGTCCCCGCCGGGACTTCGGCGGGAGCCGCGGCACCTGCGGTCGCTGGCGGGAGCCGTGCAGGGAGACCGCCGAGATTTATGGAGAAGAGTTAATAACGGGAGGCAGCCGAGTTGTTTTCACTTGGAGTTATAACCTGCCCGAGACAATCCACATATCGGATTCTCCGGGCTGCGCGCTCCTCTCAATATAAGACACTTTATTACTTTACCCTGAAGCCTTTCGCCGCTCCCACACCGAGCTTCTGGCCGGGCTTCTGCCCCCTCTCCCGCAGCGCGGCCCGCTCTCCCAGCCGCCGCACCCTCTCACCCAGAAGAGACGGGGACGAGCAGGGTGAGCGGAGCCGCTCCTGACCCCCATGACTACAGCGAGGGGGCAAAGAGATTTAAAAGCCCCACCAAAAACCACAAGGGGAATCAGAAATCACCGGGTTACAACAGAGGTGTAGCAGGCCGCTCAGGGAACCCGGCAGCCGCGGGGTGCCCCGGCAAGAGCCGGCGGTGCGGGGGCTGCTAGTGCTGATGTTTCGCTTTTTGTTTTTTTTCCCTGTCCCTTAACACGAAGCAAATAAACCCGCCGCCTCCCGCTGAAAGTTTCCCCCTGCTTGTGAGCGTCTCATTAATATTGTGCAGCTGGAAATTATATTACCCCCAATGGCAGCAAATCACCGCTCTGCGGCTATCGGAAAACGCCGCCGCGGCTACCTGCGAAAGCCGCCTCAGCTTCGCGCCCGCGCAGCCAGCCCGCCCCCCCCCCCCACCTCCCCTCCCCTCCCCCCTCAGCTCACCGCCGTGCGGTACCCAGGAGTAAGCCCTGTGAGGGGCGCAGCAGCCCTGAGGCCTCCGGGGAGGCACAGCACCGCAGCATCCCACTGTGGAGGTAAATGCGCCACCTCCCCGAAGCCCCTGTGGCACCGGCCCAGCCCGGGGAGCCCGGGCCTGCGTCCTCGTCCAGGGGCCTGCCCCGGGTCCCCGGTGGGACAGGCGGGTCCCGCTGCCGCCCTGGCCCCGCCCAGACTCCCCGCGGCTCCTGCGTGTAGAAGCGAGGGCTACGGCCGAGCCTCCGCGTGGGGTTCGGTTCGGCAGCCGGGCCCTTGTACCGGAACTCCCTTCCCAAGAGCCCCGTCCCGGTTACGGGAAAGGCCGCATGGAGCCGTTCACACTGGGCCTCGCGCCGCCAGCACCACGCTCCTTGCGGCAGTCTCTCGTGCGGCGTGGGCGGGGCTCCCCGCGAGCCTCGCACCTGTGCGGGCTCGCGAGCCAGGCGAGGCAGCGCCGTTTTGCTCGTGGCGCGATGCTGGGCCTTGCGACCCGCAGTACTCCACCCCCAGGAGGAGAACGGACTCCGACGGGGAGACCGGGCCGAAGGAAACTGGACCCAGGTGCAAGTGGTTGTCTGAGCGGTGCGGGTAAGCGCTGGGGTCGGATCCGCCCTTCTGGTCTCGGGCGGGCCTACCCGGCCGCTGGGGCTGCCCCACACCAATAGGCCGCAGCTGCGACTTTGAGCGGCATACTCGGCCGTGGCCTGCGGCCGGGCAGCAGGGTCTGGCTGCGGTCGTCGCCAGCCAGGTTGTAGGGAGGTAAGAGCGGGCAAGGGGCTGGTGGCGCCTTGGTCGCTGTCGGTTTTGCTGGGCGGCCCCGCCGCGAAGCGTGAGCAGCTGGCGGGAGCCACCTCAGCCAGCGGGCCTCGTGGTCTGTCCCGCCCGCAGCGCCGCACCTAGGCCCGCCTGCTCTTGCCAGGGTCCCCTCGCTCCCCGCCACCAACGAGTCCCTCGCTGGGAGGCCACGTCCCGTCAGGGCGCTGGGCATCGTAGACCCCGCAGTCAAGGTACTGTTGAGCCTGCACCTGGGCACGGGTGGGTGCGTGTTTCCCTCAGACATGAGAAGTTACTGTGCTTTACCCGGCTTTAATGTGTTTTTCGGTTGATGTAAGTAATGTCTGATTGAATTTATTGCTGATTAGCGTTGAGCTTTAGTTTACACAACAAGAAATTATGTTTCATTCAGTTCATTAGCATGACTAGTGCTTGGTTTATGAGCATATCACTAATGGTAATGACCAGAGTTGATTGATTTCTAATGTGAATATAATTACACAGTGTAGGGGAATTAAAGGGAAAAATCCACATTTTTTAATTGTTGGGTTTTTAGGGAGAGTGTGTGGGGGTAAGGGGGTGGAACGGGAGAAACAAACCAACTCACTTATGCACAAACAATACAAATATAAAGATTAATAACTGCAGCAGGAGACAGCAAGTTTTGTCCAAAAGATGAGAAATTCAGATGCAATTAACTCTGGGGACAGTTAATGCACACGCCACACTGCAAAACATAATTTCTCTTCTACCCCTAGGTACAGCTCAGAGCCCAATAAGCTCTCTTGGAAGAGGCCGTTCCCGAGGAGCCAACAGAGGCAGGGCTTTGTGCATGGCCGGGCAGCCGGCTACCTCCAGCCCAGCCAGCGGCTGCGCGGCGCCGGGCTCGGCTTGGAGGCAAAGCCGCTACGGAGCGGAGAGCGGCGCCTTCCTTAGGGTTCAGAAGGAGTAGATCAGTCAGCTGCAGAATCTTGGACAGAAGAGGCAGTGCCGCCCCAGGCAGGAAGCGCATTGCTCGCCCCGCTCCCCTTATCCTTTCAGAGAGGCGCATATGGAGACTGGGAAGTGTTAAAGAGCCCTGGCTGGAGCAAGGTGAAGGGCTGCAACAGGTAAGAGGAGCAGAGTGGGACTGCGTGGGTCACCCACCATGTGGGATTTTAGAGGCAGGGAGGGAGGGGACAGTGAGGGCTGGGGGAGAACAAAGCAGAAGTATCCTGTGTACCTCCGCAGTGTCTGGTCTGTGCTTTGTGTCCCTGTTTCCTTTGGGACTGTCCTTTCCACTTAAATGGAAAGGTGATCTGGAAAGGGAGATCTGATTAAAGCGTTTTGCTGGAGGCACCTCCAGTCGCATATGCACAGGGGTAAGGGGGAAGGCTCAGGTTCTGTGGGAACCCCTATAATGTGGAAATGTGGGGTGGGAGGTGATTACAGCACTGTTTTCATGCTTCATCTTGCACAGCTCTGACCAAACTCTAAACTGTTTCCCCAGGCTGAGCTAAGGCATCACTGAGTCTTGAAGCACTGGTTTAACATAACCTTCTGACCTGTCAAAGTCATATTTATTTTCCCAATACACATAGTGGAAAGACTTAATTGACTAGAAGGGGCTCTGAAACAAATACACGGAGAGGAAAATCAGCTTCTCTCTATAATAGGAAGAGGAAGATCTTTCATTTTTAAAATAGAGGTGCTAGAACTCAGTTTTCAAGATCTGGGTTTAAATTCCAGTGGGTCATTAAATGAGATTTTTCTGCTGACATGAATTTGCATAGTTGTATTGCAGTGCAATTTCTTTGCAACTTGTTTTGCTCCTGCCGTCTTACTATAGAGGCCAGAAAACAGTGTTGTTACAGAAACACATCCCATTCCTATTAGCTCAGTTGTTGCAGACATCAAATACACTTGCCCAAGACAAGGATTATTTGGATAACTAGAACTTTGCAAGGAATACATCCGTATATCGTCTTATCTTGTTTTGCTTGCATTTGACCTGTGGCCTTACATGACACAACTGAATTATCTGGCCATGTTTTCAAGATCATGTAAAACTTCTGGGTAACTGTAGAGGCATTTAATAATTTCAGTGGAAACACATGCTAGAAGGATGCACTTGTTCAAAAATTAAGATGTCTAGGATAGCTTTTGAAAATAATTGGAGTGTCTCAGCATCAGAGTTATTCAGTGTTACGGGTGATGGTCATATTAAGTTTCAAAAGTCTAAAGCTTTGGGTGCATAACCTATTCTGTGGCAAACTTTAAAAAAAAAAATATTTTATTAAAGGTGCATAAAAAAACGGCTAAAAGCATTGAAACATAACATATATAAAGTAACATATTAATTTGAATAACATCAATTACTGTTTTCGCTTGAAATGGTAGATAGTTTTATAAAGACACTGTCTCTTCTCTGTCAACCAGCAATCTTTTAGGTGGTTCTAAAGATTTGAGTGCATGTCCTGTGTGGAAAAGGAAAAACTTGAATTTGTCTGGAGCTGTTTTAAGACAAAACAAGTGAAGTGCATACAAAAATGTGGAGAACACAATATATGAAGTTCAGAAATACAGTTTTGTTTCTGACACATTTTTGTGTCTTTTTTTATGGCTGTGTCCTGGGCTCAGCTGTAGCAGTTATTTTTCTCCTTCTTAGTTACTGATGCAGTGCTGTTTTTTTTTTTGACTTTAGCCTGAGAACAGTGCTGATAACACAGCAGTGGTTTTAGTTGTTGCTGAGTAATGTTTACTCTGATCAAGGACTTTTCAGTGTCATGCTTTGCCAGTGAGGAGGGGCACAAGAAGCCTGGAGGAAGCAGAGACAGGACACCTGACCCAAACTGCCCAAAAGGGTATTTCATGCCACAACATGTCATGCCCAGTATATAAACTGTTACCTGTAAGGCCCAGATCACTGCTTGGGTTGGGCTGGGTGTTGGTCGGCTGGTGGTGAGCAATTGTATTGTGCATCACTTCTGTTTGTTGTTTTCTTTTCCTTTTCCCCTTTTAGTTTTATGTTCTCTTCCCTTGTTATTTCCCTTACTGTTTTTGTTGTCAATGATAGTAATAGTGGTTTTGTATCATACCTTAGTTACTGGACTGTTCTTATCGCAACTTGTGGAATTTAAATTCTTTTGATTCTCCTCCCAGCCCTGTGGGGAGGGGGAAGTGAGTGAGTGGCTGCGTGGTTCTGAGTTACTGGCGGGGCTTAAACCATGACAGGCTGAGATGATCATAGCATTAGGTAGTATTGGCTTCTCTGAAACCCAGCAGACTGGTGCTTGGGTTCTCTAGGCCAGCTAGTCAATACCTGCAGGTTTAGTCATGTCTGCTGTATGCTAAGTAACACTGGTAATGCAGCCAAATCCCTTTGGTTAAATGCAGCTGGGAAGATAAATGAGTTCTATATAATTACAGATCAACTGCAGAATAATAATTTTAGTTTAAGCATGTTTTTAATGTTCCCTTTATTGTAATGTGTTCCAAGCAAAGCTGGAAGATGTAAATACAACATTGGGATGTTATTTCTAAATTGATATAGTTAGGAGCTGGTCTGATTAGTGCTGTTAATGTCGGTGTGTTCCAAAGAAGGGAGGGCTGTTTATTCAGCTGGCTTCACATGTATTCTCTTAATTTGAAGCTGTGTGAATATATTTTATATTTTCTGAATGTATCTGTCACATTCTACCTTAATGGTGACAGCATATCATACTACACTGTGTTTCTGTCTTACAGTATCTACACTAGTGTCTCATGAGCACTTCTGCACAAAGGCTGTTGTACATAGTGCAGCTGAGTGAGTTCCCGTCTGACTGAGATGCTTTTCAGCTTTTTAGGTCTGCAGTTTATGGAAATTTCCCTCTTGTTACACTGTGTCCAGGTTGCAGCTAACCCTGTGTCTATTCTTAGGGTCAGAGGAAGAATGCAAGACAGTTCTCTGCATCTGTCCAGCAGGAAAGCATTTTTGTGAGCTTGAAGCAAAGGGTCTATTACACAGTAGGAAGCACTAAGCTCTTTAGAGCAAGCAAGGTGACATCTGGCTGCGCATGATTGTTTGTAGGAGAGTTTCAGACCCTTTGCCACAGCGGTTTTTTGTGTGCAACATTGGGAATATGCTGTAGAAGTACAGTCCTTTAGATGTTGAGACATATTTTGTACATTCTTTTGGGTAAAGTTCTTCATCTGCTGAGTTTCTTCTACAGGTTGTGCAACTTTTCAGTTTTCACTGGCTTAGTCATCCTCCTTCTCTTACAGCCTGGTACTTCAGCCTTGCCAATCAGATGGAGACCATCTTTGCTCTGTTAACTTGGTTTGGGCTTACCTTTTTGTATATCTACTTCCTGTCATCTCTAAGATTAACTTAGAATATTAGTAGCCCTTTCCAGCTTTCTCCACTACCTTTATAGGTTGCTTATGCTGTGCTTTTCCTTTTATAATTTTTTTCTTGTTTAGAAGAACCCATTGATAATACAGGATTAGGTACTCTGCTGGAAACCAGTAATATGTTAATTCTGGCTGAAGTATTGGATACCTACATCTGTCATTGGCTCCTCAGGAAATAATGGAGATAGATACCGATATATATAGTTATTCTGTTGAGAAGCCCAGAGTTTTGCAAAACACTTAAGAATGTGCTTGATGTGAAAAATACATTCATTCAGTTGAAAGGAACAAGGTGCTTCATGTTCTTAAAGCACTTAAGCATAAGCTTGCCAGGAATGTAGGCTAGATAATAGCAGTATGAGGGTTGCTTTGTATTTAAACCAGCAGATAAAAGTGGCCTTTTAAAAAATGGAAGATTCTTTTAGAAGGAATATAAAGAATCACATGTAACAGTCAGCTACTTTTAAGGTGGATCTTGACAAGATGGCAAATGTTGTGCATTTCTGAAGAAAACAACACGGTTGCAAGTCTTGTTCTGTATTTACATTTAAGCCAAAGTTAGCAAGTTTGCTGCTTTGAAAAGAAAAGTTACTTTCTTAAATAGTTCTTTATTGACTCTGGTTGGCATACTGCTTTGTTGTGACAAAACTGCAATAACAAAAATGATGAAAAAAAGGTTGCTCAGGATAGTAAACTTAGCAATAGCTGAGGTTTAGTTTCTGTGCCTGTTTTACCAAGGAGGCAAATTGTACTTCTTTGGCTGGCATGGTTTACTTTATTATCCATACAGAATAAGGTGATGATTCTTCCCTCTCACAGTTATGCATGGCATAAGAGCCCAGAAGTATTAACCAATTGGTAGCTCCTCAAATAAGCATCCATCCAGGTTCATGACTGAGCATAAAGTTTCTCATGGTTCAGAGTTTAATGTTACAAGGGAATAAAATACTTCTCACTAAATGATGGTGAAAACACAGTAGGGGGTATTTTGTTCAGGGAATACAAGCTATTGTCCTACTCTTGTCCAGAAGGCAACATACATCAAACAGAAGATGTCTGCCTTACATTCTATCTAAATCAATGTTACTTCTTCCAGAATACTGCTGCTTCCGTTCCTAGAGATAAAAAAAACATAGCTCAATGTCAGTAGATAATTCCTCCTCTTGGGCTTTCTGTCCTTGACCAGTAGAAGTTTTTATCCTTAGAAAAGGAAGACTTTCTTTATCCATGGAAGATTAAATTGCCTTGCTGGCACATCTGGCTCACTGAGGAAACAAAGGAGGAAGAGCAGATAGGGAAGAAACAGAAAAGAAAATAATTCGAGGGTAGCTTTATAGTCTTTTGTTGTTAGGATGTCAATTACTATCATATATCACCTATATCGCAAACTTGTCATACCTTGGGGTATTTATGCTTTTTTTTTTTCCCTTCACCTACAACTTGTACAAAATATATTAATTATCCATAGGAAATCTTTTTTGCGACTGGATTCATCTTTAAAATGTAGCCATAATGTTCAAAGGGATTTATTTTTTACATCCAGTTCAGAAGGATGAATATGAAAAGATCAAATTTTTTTAATCCAGTTGTGCATTCCATGGGAATAATTGCAGAAATTAGTGCCCTTTTCAGCTTTTTAAGTTGGCACTGCTCTGTTTTAAATGCTGTTACCTCACACTACAGTCTCGCTAAGAATGATAGATGAAACAGGGTATTCTATAACTGTGGGCTGTGA